TCTGTGGCAAAAAAGGAGCAAGAGGACAGCAAAATTGAGCTGCAATCTGTAGGTTTTTATTTTTAATGTCAAATTGAAGATGTCTGGCAGTTCATTAGTGTAGAAGTTTGAGAATGTGAGGAGTGGTTAAGCTTAAATTTCTAAATACTGAGAAATGCAAAGTTAAGATTCACATCCTCACCCCAAACAAGTGGCACTGTTCCCGCTTAGACCCTGGTGTGTTCTTTTATGTAATGCCTGATAGTTAGAAAATGTTGCATTTTAAAATACATAATGTAGGTAGAGATTACAAATATGAAATTACATTAACTGCAGTTTTGCTTATTATAAACTATTAGCACACAGAAATCAAAAAGACAATATTTATGGGAGGCTAATTTATGCAAGAGATTTCATTAACAGAAACCTCAGTTTTGAAATGAACCTCAAGAGCAGTTTTTCTTCAAGCACTTCTTCATTTGCCACAATAAATGTATGTGCAAAAATATTTATTTTGATGTCACAAGTATTTTAGAATTAACTGTAAGAGCAAACTGATATGGGTTGTTACCACTGTATTAAATGTCTCATATGGTTATGGAAGTAGCAATTCAGAGTTTAGGTTTCTAGATGTATTTGAATTTTGATGGCTTGTTAGTTCATAGGAAATTGCACCAAAATGTAACCTATACCTCTGTGTTCAATAGTTTGGAAAGCAAAGATAAATCATTACTGAGAAGATAATAGGGTTTGTTAGTGTTGGTTTTGATTTTATGGCAGGAAGGTCCTTGCTGGTCCTGGAAAGCTGACCTAAGCATCAGCAAGCATCATCCCCTTCAAACAGCTGCTGGTTTGAAGATTTTGTATCAAACCAGGTGAAACTGAGCACACTGACTATTGTGTCAAAAAATAATTGTGCTGTCCCTATTTAATGGATCTAGTAGAAGTCCAAGGTGATGTTACCTTTTTCTTCATGTTCAACCTCTCTTGAAGGCATTTATCTGCCTGGATCAGGGAGATCTGTTTGGCTTGCAAATTCAAGGCAAAGCCATTTTGGATCCTTCTGAAGATGAGATATGCATAAATATTAGCTGAAGTTAAGGACTGTTCTGCAAACTAGAAGCTACCCATCAAGTTATGAACAAAAAGCGATGCTGAACTTTGAATCAGATCTGTGCCTTTCCCTTGGTTTTTTTAAGCCATGTGTGAAGAAGGCAAGTACTACATCCACTAGGTATTTGTAGACATCTTTGTACTATATATGGCAAAATCCTTTGAAAAGCTTCCAGACTGAAGTAGAATATGGGAGAAGGCTTACAGACTAATTTATTTTTACCTAAGATTCTCTGTCTGGTCTTTAACTGTATTATATCTTGTCAAGAATTGCTTGATGAGAAAACAATTATCTTGATGGTCAGTGGATCTTCAGTAACAGCTAAAGATTTTTGAATACCCTCTCTAAGAAACCTTTTGATAATGGCAATCAAGCAAAAACAAGAACTTGTTCTTCCTCCAGCAAGCAACTAGTGTGTAAGTCATGAACAACATTGCATACATTTGGAGAAGCACTGGAGAAAAAGTGGCTGTTCATGTATGCAGTTCTTTGAGATGAATTGTTCTTACAGCTAATCTGTGACTTGCCCTTCAACTTCATTAATGTGGAATTTATTAGCATGCGGTTCTTTACAGTGAGACAAAGATTTTGTTATCATGGTACTTTTCTGCTCTTTTTGGTTTGTTTTAATAGTTTCAGCAGCTTTGAGAATATGGGTGAATGATGTTGAAGAACACTGTTGCCTGTAGCCCATTTCAGGCATATTGTGTACACTGATCACACACATTGCAAAAAATAGAGTTATTCTGTTGATGAGCACAGTTCTTCAGGAAGCTAATGTATTGGGGCATTCTTATTAACTTGTGGAGTAACTTTTTAGTAAAGTTACCTTTTTTCTTGGCTATTTAAAAAGCCATGCAGACTAGAGGCAAATGTGACTGATTACAGTGGAGACGCAGAAGTAGGACCAGGTTTTAGCAAAGTTATCAAAGAAATCGAAAACCTGAAGGGGAGCATACATGTTTTTTTGTAGATACTTTCAAAGGGGATTGTGTTGCATATTCTTTTAATCCTTTTTTAAAAAGTATCCCATGAATTGAAAAGGCATTAGCATGGGTTTTATAACCTATTGTTTGTTGCCACGTGACTGGATTCTTATGGTGAACTAGCTTCTCTTAAATATTTCTTTATTACACTGAACAAATAAACAGTACCTTTGTTATAAAATATGGAGGTATAAAAGAAGGAATTCAGTAAGATATTTCTAGTGAAGATTGGGTTGCCTTGACACGACATAAGTAATAGAGTAGGATAAATGTCAACAAGCTCTCGACTGCAGTCCCACAGTATATAAAATATGTACGGGTGGGGAGTCCTTTTCGATGTATATCAGAATTGTCGATACATGTGCAGTCATGCCTGAGTCCTTTGTATTGCGTGAGTAAAATTTGGTTACTTACAATACTCAACAGCTAAGGAAACTGGGCATGCGGCAGACTTGCTCCAGGGAACATAGTGCCAGAAGCAAAAACTTTAAAGGTGACTTATAGAGAACTTTACACTAATTCTATTTGTTCTCTTTTCTGCTGTTCCCTACTTGAATAAAGAAAGCTTTACATATTCCCTAATAAAAGAAAAAAGGGTATGCTTATGCTATCATCTGCAATATGTGTAACAGGAGAGAGTGCAATTCAAGCATTAGTTGAATTTAGCACTGGAGAACACAGAAAACTTGGAACTTTTGAGAGGGAATTAAGGTTATTTTTCCAAATATTTAAGGTAGCTGGATTTTTATTTTTTCATTGATGTCTAATTAATACTGTGGCAATTGATTTCTTTTTAAAGATTGAGTAGTGTTCTACCCTGGGAACAAAATCAAAAAGGAAAGCAAGAATAGATAATCCAAGGGAGTGGAAGAGTAGTAGCCTATGATATTTGCTTGTTGTTTTGGGATTTAATGCAACTTTTGTTCCTTTACTTTTACAACGCCTTTGTTTGGCCAGATTTACTGTAGGCTTTATGCTATGTGTGTAGTCCCACTGATTTAAATGAAATTACCAACAGTGCATAAAATTGAGAAGATATGTTAGAAAATCAGGCCCTCTAGCAATTTCACTAGTGGAAATTGTCTTAAAACTTGTGTATGTGATTTTTCCTGTAGTCTGGGGCTGGCTGTCAGCGAAGTCTCTGCAGGCACTGTAGAGGCATACAAGAAGACATGAAGTATTAGTGTGCGGACACCACCGCTCAGGTGCACAGCTGTGCAGCATCCAGGTTAGACCTGGCTGTCATCCAGTCAGCTGTTGGTACGCACAGAGGAACTGATCGGTCCATGTTGCATACTTCTGCCTGTCTTCAATCAAGTGCCAAGCCTGCAAAGAATAATCATGTCACAGCAACAACATGGTCAACCACACTGTGAAATGTTTTCTAGCATTTTTGAAAGCAATGTTGAGAATTTAGGTAACTTTGGCAGGTGGTGATTGTCTGAAGATGGCAACTTAACACAAATAAATAAGAGTGACCACAGCATGGGGAAAGCAGGGACAATCGCTGTCAGTATTACTTTATGGATATTTGCCTACCTCAGTTTGAAAACCCCAATAATTTAAGTTAAATCTTTTTTTAAAATGCATTTAAATGAGATGAGTTGCTGAACATACTTGAGAATTATAGAAAAATAATTTTCTGATCATTAGTTTCATTGCTTATAGGCAATAGTTATGGATGTAGATATATGTGAAATCAGTAATATATGAGACTTTAAAAATTTTGTTGGTGGAAACTATTTTGTCATATTAAGGTTGTTCTAATTCCAATTAAAGCTGTTTAAAGAGGGAAAGAAAAAAGAACTAATCTTGGATTAGAAGATAGAATATCAGTGTAAAAATTGAAATAAATTTTGGGAAGTTATGTTAGTGATATAGTGAATGCAATTAAAAAGTGAATTATCATCCAGAAGATTTTTTTTTTTGAGAATTGTGTGTGTGTGTGTGTGTGTGTGTAGAGATTGGCAGGTGATTTCTTCTCTAAATAATATAGTATGCCTTGGGAATGCGAGCGAGGCACTTATGACAAAGATGTTTGTTCTGCTGTTGGAAAAAACAGTTTGGTTATCTTCAAATCTGTGCAATAGGTTCTTTGATAAATAAAGAGAAGACATCAAAAAAACAAAACCCCAAGAACTACTTTTAAATTAATTTGGTTTCCTTGTATCAGTTGTAAAAATTTTGACTGCATATCTTCTTCATTCTGACTGCATGTGGGTCTAGTCGTAGTTTCAAAATGTGATGAGGATGGTGTGATGTTGTCTACCTATTTACCTCTCTGGCAAAGAAACCTGATGTGGTGCAGCTAGCTTTTTGTCTATATTAAAAAAAAATCTTTTGACTTCGCTTGGTAACAAAATCAAGCAAAAATTAGTGTTACATTATAAAACTACTAGTAGGAGTTCAGTTGTCAATGATTTGGCCTGTATTTAGCGATAACACCCCAGAGTTCTGCCACAGATTGTCCCTACGTACTGGAAGAGGAAAGATTACAGTCTTGTGTACACTAAATAATATGAATGATAATAAACAAAACTTAATAAGGCACAAAGAATCCTTTATTTACCTACACTGTTAAAAAAACTGTTAAATTCAGAGGAATAACTGAAATATTCCACAAATAGATTTTGTGGAAGTAGAGCAGGGATATCTTTTTACAAAGGAAATTCACCAGTTTGAATGTGTTTATATTGATATGCCTGGCAAAATATTTTACTGAAGGAAATGTGTATGCAAGTTATTATGTTAATTTCTAATTGTAGTGCGGACAATAAATGCAACTTTAAAAAGAGCAGGTGTATCTACCTGTGGTATTATTAGTGGATATACTGTAAGCAGTTCCTGAGGAAGGACTGTGGTGTTGGACCCTTATTTTTATCTTCAGGTTCACATTTGCTCTTCTTACTCTCCATTAATAGGTAGCATAGATCAGTCAGTGTTAAAGGAGTTGCCTCCTGAGCTCCTGGCAGAAATTGAATCCACCATGCCACTTTGTGAACGCGTGAAAATGAACAAGCGCAAACGTAGCACAGTTAATGAGAAACCAAAATATGCTGAAATCAGTTCTGACGAAGACAATGACAGTGAAGGAGCTTTTGAATGTAAGTAGTACATCATTCTGTTCCTACTGCTAAAGAAATCTAATATTTTGCTTTTACAAAGAGATACACTTTTTTTAAGTTGGCTGCCCTAAAACATATGAAAACAAGTTTGCTGTCCTGACAACTACTTGGCCAAGAACACTTTTTTTTCTTAAAAGAAAAATTACCTGATTTCAATTTGTCACTCAAGGTGAAAAGCAGCTAGTTGTTGAATTTTTTTTCCTAATTACCTTATGGGAAGCTGCTGCCTAGATTTTTTTTTTCTTCAGTTGTACTAGAAACATTTTTATGCAAAGAAAAATTTCAATAAACAAATTTTAAATTATTCTTAGCTTTATTGATAAGAAAAGTGAAGGATTCCCTCTTGAATTTTTCTGACATAATAAACTGAGAATCTTACTGCCCAGAAGTTTCTTAAATTATTTTTTCTTCTATTATTCTCTGGCATATTGCTTGAAAAACTGGAGTTACTTTTTGGTGGGTCCTCAAAATACCATTTGTTGATGATACTATTCTTGAATTAACTATTTTCAAAGGAAGAGAGGAAGCTTGTAGTTAGAATTTTGGTGTGCAATTGGGTAAAGTTCCTAAGTATCAAAAAATTGTTATACGCCTCTAAGTCAGGAAGGTATTTCCTACTTGCTAATAAAGAGTGTGGTTAGTTTGTCGCTATGGTAGTTCAGTTTGCCAGAACTGAAAGGAAACTCTGTTAAAGTGGGGTGGATCGGTTCAATCTGAGTTAACATCTTAGCTGTGTTACCCATGCAGGGCTGCAGGAGAAGTGCCTATTGCTGTTAACCTGAGAAGGCATCTTACTTATAATGATTTTTTCCAAAGCTTAGAGTCTTTCAGTTTTTGTGTATATAAAGATCTTTCTGAACATATGTAAAACACGATGGTTTGCTTTTATGCTCTCTTAGAGTCCAAAAGAGAGATTTGTTTGTTCTGCTTTTTAATGTTTCAAGTTCTTGTCCAACAGATACATGATACTTATGCACACATACATGTAAAAATTATAATAGCGATACCTCTGATTCGTATCAAAGAAGCAGAAAAGAGTATTGTTTTGTTTGTTTGTTTTTCCTTTTAATTATTACTGAATAATGCTGCCATGAGTGGGAGTATGAGGTCTTGAGATAATTTGTAATCAGTCTTGATTGTGGCAAAGGATTAATGATGATTTGCCTCATTCAGGATTCTATATTCTCTGTTTGCCATATCATATCACACGCTTATGATGTTAATAATCTGGAACAGTGAATTAAAAAAACAAATACGTGAAGCAAAATTATTGAAGTTGGTTGGGAATGGAGAGAATTGTCAAGAATTTCAGATACCTTAATCTACCTTTTAGCCTGTTGAAGTTCTTAAGTATACAGTAAAGCAAATTAAGGAAAACTTTCACAGTGGTGACATGCTTAAGGGATTCTAGGTTCATTATATCCACATGAGATCTGGCCATCGTTCTAAACAATTCAGCAAGGACATCTGGTTTAAAAATAAATTGTAATTGTGGATAGTGTTCATCTTATTTGCCTTGCAGAGCCAGCACAACTGTAATGCATTCTGTTTTGTCATGCAGCAGTGATAAACTGGTCAATTTAAAATTCTGCTGAAAAGCAATATTGGAAGTTACTTTTCTCATGGAGTTGTAGCTGGGGTCAGAATTCATCCTACAGAGCTTAAATTGATACTGGTGATTTGTAAACTGTGGAGACAGATCACAGAATCACAGAATGGTAGAGGTTGGAAGGGACCTCTGTGGGTCATCTAGTCCAACCCCCCTGCTGAAGCAGGGTCACCTACAGCAGGCTGCATGGGGCCGCATCTAGGTGGGTCTTGAATATCTGCAGAGAGGGAAGCTCCACAACCTTCCTGGGCAACCTGTTCCAGTGCTCCATCACCCTCAAAGTGGAGAAGTTCTTCCTCTTGTTCAGACGGAACTTCCTATGCTTCAGTTTGTACCTGTTGCCCCTTGTCCTGTCACTGGGCACCACTGAAAAGAGCTTGGCCCCATCCTCCTGACACCCACCCTTCAGATATTTATAAGCATTTCTAAGGTCCCCTCTCAGCCTTCTCTTCTTCAGGCTAAACAAGCCCAGCTCTCTCAGCCTCTCCTCAAAGGAGAGATGCTCCAGTCCCCTCATCATCCTCGTAGCCCTCCGCTGGACTCTCTCCAGTATCTCCTGATCTTTCTTGAAGTGGGGAGCCCAGAACTGGACACAGTACTCCAGATGGAGCCTCACTAGGGCAGAGTAGAGGGGAAGGAGAACCTCAGTCGACCTGCTGGCCACACTCCTCTTGATGCACCCCAGGATCCCACTGGCCTTCTTGGCAGCCAGGACACACTGCTGGCTCATGGTCAACTTGTCATCCACCAGCACACCCAGGTCCCTCTCCACAGAGCTGCTCTCCAGCAGGTCCGCCCTGACCCTGTACTGGTGCATGGGGTTGTTCCTCCCCAGGTGCAGGACCCTGTACTTGCCCTTGTTGAACTTCATCAGGTTCCTCTGTGGCCAGCTCTCCACCCTGTCCAGGTCTTGCTGAATGGCAGCACAGCCTTCTGGTGGATCCACCACTCCTCCCCGTTTTGT